GCTGCGGCCGGCGGGCGGGTGGGAGCAGCAGCGGTCCGCCGGGGCAGGATGTGTCGGATGGCCTCCGTCTGCTTCTGTGCGGCCGAGAACTGCTGGGCAAAGCTCTCGACCGCGTCGCCGAACAACCCAACCTGGGAGAGAGGGGCATCCAGGAACCGGTACTTATCGGTGTCCCTCATGTCCGCCAGGTTGAGCCAAAGGTGGCGCTCCTGGACCACCAAGGTGGACATTGCCTGACCGACTGAACGTGCGGTTTCCTTCGTCGCCCGGAGGGCGAGGTCGGTTGCCACACGGAGCTCCCGGAGGAGCTCTGGGTCAGAACCACCCTCGTTCATGTCCATGAGCGCCTGGGCCTGGTGGACCTGCAAGAGCGCCATGGCATGAAGAGCGGAAGCAGCCTGTCCACAGGCCTTGTAAGCCCTCGCCGTTAGACCGGACGAGAACTTACAGGCCTTGGACGGGAGGCGTGGGTCACCCCGCCAGGAGGAGGCGGATGCCGGACACAACTGCATCGCGACAGCCCGCTCCACTGGGGGGATCCCCACATACCCCTTAGCTGCCCCGCCGTCGAGGGTGGCGAGGGGAGAGGAGCCACTAGGACGGCTTCGGGCACTATACGGTGCCTTCCACGTCCTAGAAAGCTCCTCATGCACCTCCGGAAAGAAAGGTACCGGGGCGGCGCACTGAGAACCAGCACGGCCCGCCCCGAGAAACCAATCGTCCAGCCGAGAAGGTTCGGGACGTGGTGGAGGATTCCACGCAAGCCCGACCTTCTCGGCGGCCCGGGAGAGCATAGCGGCCCATTCTGGATCTGGCTCGGACAACGCTAAACACCCCGAAGGGGGCAACGCAGCCGAGTCGTCATCTCCAGATGACCGCTCCCCCTCCGATGCTGCGATCGACATCTGATCGTCAGCTGGTGCCCCAAAGGAAACGACTGGTCATTCCGGAGAAGGACCGAGCCGTTCGCCAAGGGGCGCCGATGGCAACAGCACATGAGAGGCGTGAGGGGCCCGCGGAGATTGCCTCGGCGGGGAAGCCCTCAAGGTAATCCTCAGATCACCCTGGTCATGCGCCGAAGTAGGCCTATTCTGCGGGGCAGAATAAGCACTAGATCGGGGCATAGGCGAGGGGACTGCACCTCCCTTGAGGTAAGCGAGTCTCGATCTAAGTGCTGTGATAGTCATATTCCCGCAATGGGAACATGAGCTATCCACAAAAGCTGCTTCAGCGTGCCGAACGCCCAAACACGAGATGCAGCTATTGTGGCCATCTGCTGGCGCCAGGGAACGACTGCATCCAGAAACGCACAAGCGGAATGACATCTTGAAAAAGACGCAGGGTCCGCTTGTGTTGCTCTTTTAGTAAAATAAAAAAAAAGGAAATTGCTCTCACAGTGCTGAGGCGCCCAGGGGTAGCCACTGTGTGGACACACACACACACACACACACACACAAACAATAGTGCTGTGAGAACAGCAGTTGAGAGCTGCACTGCTCGCGGCCACCGCTGATCGCGCCGTCACACCAACACTGGAACAGAGAGATCTTCCTTGAAGTCTTCAAAGGCGTTGAATCTTAGACATCAGTCACAGGAAACTCGCGCTCCGAAATGAAAGACGGTGGGTGCTCGCGCCCCCTTCCTGTTTTATACCCGCGCTGCGGGGCGGGGGCGCGTGACGCGTTCACGCACGCCAACGTTCATTGGCTTGTTCTTAGATACTCGAAGTTGATAGGGCTCCCTGAAGTGATCCCCTAACGTCGTCACGTCGACGTCACGTCGAACGTGAGCGACTGAAGGGGAACCGCAATCATGGGTAAGACTGCCGACCTGACTGCTGTCCAGAAGGCCATCATTGACACCCTCAAGCAAGAGGGTAAGACAGAAAGAAATTTCTGAACAAACAGGCTGTTCCCAGAGTGCTGTATCAAGGCACCTCAGTGGGAAGTCTGTGGGAAGGAAAAAGTGTGGCAAAATACGCTGCACAACGAGAAGAGGTGACCGGACCCTGAGGAAGATTGTGGAGAAGGACCGATTCCAGACCTTGGGGGACCTGCGGAAGCAGTGGACTGAGTCTGGAGTAGAAACATCCAGAGCCACCGTCCACAGGCGTGTGCAGGAAATGGGCTACAGGTGCCGCATTCCCCAGGTCAAGCCACTTTTGAACCAGAAACAGCGGCAGAAGCGCCTGACCTGGGCTACAGAGAAGCAGCACTGGACTGTTGCTTAGTTTTCCATGTCATTCGGAAATCAAGGTGCCAGAGTCTGGAGGAAGACTGGGGAGAAGGAAATGCCAAAATGCTTGAAGTCCAGTGTCAAGTACCCACAGTCAGTGATGGTCTGGGGTAGGGGTGTGCGATATCACGGTTTTTGATCGTGGACGATTAAAATGTCTCCACGATCTGCTTTTGAAGAAATATCGTAGAATCGTGCATTTTATTAGTTGCAGTTCTGGCGCCGAGCTCCGTCTCAACATACAACAAATGTTAACGCAGAGGAACGGGACACTGCAGTTCACAGAAGTTCATTATTTGCATGTGCTTTAAAGCCTTGCTGGTTAAACATGTAATTCACGTGCTGATGCGCTGTTCTGACGTATGCTTTCTGAGCGCATACACCCGAAGCACACGGGCACTAAAAGCCTGTCTAACAGCGTCTGTTTACTGGACTACGTTATAAGTTATCTTTCGAGTCTTGTTGCGCTAATATTGTCAAATACACACAAGGTTTACATAAACAAAGTTGGTTATGTCTAAAGTGAAAGCAAACAGAAAAAAATGAGAGAAAATCGGCTTGTCAAATGCGTGTATATTAGACGCGTCGCGTGCAGCTCTTAAAGCGACAGTAGCCAGTTAGTAAACAAGCTGCCTCTTGTCCTTAAAGAGATAGTTCACCCAAAAATAAAAAAATCTGTCATTATTTACTCACTCTAATGTTGTTCCAAACCTGAATTAATTTCTTTCTTCTGTTGAAAATAAAAGTTATTTGGAAGAATGTGGCTAACCAAACAGTTGCTGGTCCCCATTGACTTCCAACATATACTATGGAAGTCACTGGAGTACAGCAACTATTTGGTTAGCCACATTCTTCCAAATAACTTTTATTTTCAACAGAAGAAAGAAACTTATTCGGGTTTAAAACAACTTGAGAGAGTAAATGATGACAATTAAAATGTTTGGGAGAACTATCCTTTTAATGTTAATAAAACAACAAAACACAAAGAGGAAATCACTCACTGCTCTTGACTGAGAACTTTACTAGTAGCTTTAATAATAATCAATGTAATTTATACAGTGAAGTCTATGTTGTGTTTTATTTTCGTATTTGTTCATTTAGCCTAATTACTTTCTTCAATGCTACTGTTAAATACCCCTACTGTAGCTGAAAAAATAAAGCACTGTTTATTTCATTTGTATATTAAGTTGTGTATGCTTAATGTGTATCTTTTTTCCTAATTCTTAATAACAAAGAAAATAATGATAAAGATTTTTATCTTCGCCACTTTGGCCTAAATGTCTGCCATTCTTTTTTCTTTTGTTACCTATAAGGCTTTTTTTTAAAATAGGGACATTAGTTTGGCTGTAATGCTCAGTCACTTGCAAAATAGTAAAACCTACATGAAAAAGAATCGTGATAAAATCGTTAATCGTGATTTTCCTGAAAAAAATCGTGATATGATATTTTTGCCATATCGCCCACCCCTAGTCCATTCGTTTTTCCTTATTTAACCCGTATTGCAAAACGAAAAATGAACGGTGGTTGTTTTTTTAAAATGCAAAGTTGAACACCAATTTTTTGTAAATTTGAACTGTACACAAATGCTGCGCAAAAAAAAAAAAAAAAAAAATCGACTAAATTTCAGTTGTTTGTTTATGACTTTTTGCCCCTTTATTAAATATTTAAAATATTCACAATTTAATACAAAAAAAATGTCGATTTTAATGGTTTTCTAAGGCCAAATTAGAACCTGAAAATTATATTTTTCCCGCAGTGCTGAATGAGAAGAGCCATATTTACGCCTATGTCTCTGGAACCACAGCCTACAGAAAGGTGATTTAGGTGAGTTATAGGCTAATGATAATACATGTGTCTGAAAAAATAACAAGGCATTGTAATTTTATTAATAAACTATTGTTTTCTAAATTAGTGTCGGCTAAAAACTTATCTCCATCTCCGCTGAGGCGCGCCGCGCGAATGGACCTTTAGAGAGAAATGCACCTTTCATACGGATTACATAATCAGAAGGTATTAGCTTTCGATTCGAATTTGTTCGTTTTAAAGTGGACATTTCAAGCTTTAGGTTAGGCTATATTTGTTTCAGTTCTCGCGCTTCCGTTCACAGAGACCATGAAAGCGCGCATGATTGTTTTATTTTATTTTACAAGAGCACGTTTTATTGTTATTGTGAGTTTACACAAATAAAAGCATAGTTGCGAATAATGGATTATTATTTTCTGTATGACCAGAAATTATAGAGTATTTTAAGTTGTTTCCACTGTTGATAGAAAACGCAAGTGTTCGCGCCCGGGTCTCCCTGCCTGCAGCGCGCTCACACTCCCCACAAACACTTGGATATGCGTCAAAATCTTGTGTTTATTTGTGATAATCTTAGCCCTGTATTATTATTGTCTAACCATTATGAATGACATTTGACGAATTGCTTTGTTCCTTTTTTTGGATAAAAGCATCTTCTAAATATGTAGCCTAATAAATGTTATAATAATGATGATAATTATTAGCCCATTATTATTTGCGTATACCAGGACGGACCCCAAACACACAGCGTCTTCTAAGTCAGGTGACTCTAAATGCGCAAAAACTGTTTCCATTGCAGTTTTGCGAAATATTCCTTTTTCGAATTGCCTGAAAAACCTCCTCATGCCAGTGTAAAAACTTTTTTGCGATAAATGGGAGTTTTTGCGAAATTGACGTGTTTCCATTGAGCGTAATTTCAATTTGCAATTTCAATTTGTGCAATTTGAAGGGTAATGGAAACGCGGCTACTGAGTCTCTCTATACAAGTTGTTTAATGCACAAAGAATGAAGCCAGACTGATTTGTAACCTTTATAAATGAGATGTCATTGTCTTTTTTCATCTTCTCCATGTCTCTGATTGTGTGTGAAAGAGATGAGAAGTGTCTGTTTATCTCTTTCAGCTTCTCCTTCATCCTCTGCTTCTTCTGCTCCTCTTCCTCCCTCAGTGCAGTGATTGTAGCTTCTTCTTCGTCTCTGAGAAACTGATGAAGCTTCTCAAACTCTTCTTTAATCTGACGCTCTGTGTGCTCAGCTTGAGACTGAAATCAAATCACATTCTCTTCAGTTAGCTCTGTATGAACACACACTCCACTAATGTCCATAATAAACTATGTGTGTGAACGTTGAGTATTTAACTCTTTATATCCTCACCTTGATGTGTTCAATTGTTTCATCACACTCTTCTTTCATTTCTTTTCCATGTTTGAGCTTGTTTAGTAAGGACGTCAGTGCTGTATTAAATTCCTCCTACAGGTTAAAGTGAAAATCTGTGAAACTTATGCAGCTATAAGAGGTTTAAACATTGTATGTCTAGTTGTTTTTATTGTTACATTTGTTATACTGTATGTTGAATGGATTTCTCATGAAGCATTTGTGCCTGAAAATTACACGACATATATTTTTTAATTATTTAATTTGGAAAGGAAGAACATCAAGAAATCATGTTTTCACCAAAGAAATGTGTTTTTTGCAATGGCCAATTCTTAATTATTATAGACATGCAGGTGTATATTTGTGGTTGTGTAAATACAAATACAGAAAGTTAAAGTATGTTAGTATAGGTTAGGGTGTTAATGTGTGTTGGCAGTGCCTGTACACAACCATCATATAATGATAAAAATCCATTCAGTGTTTTTGTTTTAATCTCCTTATATGTTTTCCCCTGCCTCAAATCGAGCCGTCCGACCGCGTGACGTCACTAAATCAGACGCCCCTCCCACGATTGTTGAATGACAGCAGCGTTTCAACACATCCCCGCCCTGAGCGAGCTGTCATGATAGTCCGCTATTGTTGATACGCTGGAGCAGAATGGCGTCTAAGCGATTGTGGTGTTCTGTTCTTGGGTGTAATAACGAACACAGCAGTTATTTTGATGTTCCTAAATCCGAACCGCTGAAGACGCAGTGGCTGAGTTTGTTTTCGAAGGGAATATTCCCCACGAGCAACGTCAATGCTCTCATGTTTGCGTGAATCATTTCTCACCAGACTGCTTTATAAACGAGGATCAGTATAAAACTTGTTTTGCTAAGAAGCTGCTCCTGAAAAAATAATCGGTACCAACTATTCATGTCCCTGCTGCACCTCCAGAAGAAGTGAGTGTAAAGTTCTATTAACCTTTATATTAATCTTTGCAAATCGCGAAAAAAAGTTGTTCATGACTATTAACTGTAACATCAATCTGTCTGTCAATGAACTAACCTATACACCAGTAAACACATAGCGTTCGTTTCTCACTACTCTACCCTGCCAGTACATGCAAAAATAGATAAAAGTGACATTATGTTAACCAACCATTCAGAAATGTCCTGTTCAAGTCTTAATTGTCGAACTTCTCTGCGGCCGTCATCTTGTTCTGGTCCGACTCCGGTTCAAACTGATACGGTTGCACAGATGTGTCCTCAGAGACTTCCGCTGCCATTCTTGTTCCAAAATATATCCTCAACTGTTGTCAAGGCAACACTCCACGTGCGTTGTGTCAAAACGCCTCAAGGAACAGAGGGGCGGAGTGAACGAAGCTCATTATCATTTAAAGGCATATGCACTGAAATGGCGTGCTGAAAACAGAGCTGTTTTTGACCAGGTAAAATTAGTGTTTGCTTACAAAACTAATGAGAATTTTTAATAAAAGTATATTACAAAGTTTTAATTTAGACCCTAAAGATTCATATTACCTTGTACAAAAATGGCATTATATGACCCCTTTAAGACTGTTAATAACTTTTTTTAAGTCAGTTACAATGTACAATGTACACTGGCCTAATTTGATCCAAAAAAAAATAAGACTGATTGTCCCTTGATTAACTGCTAGTGGGTCATATAAGACTGTCTGTGATGGTCCTCGAGGATCACTGAGTGAGTTCTTAGATTATGCCCTTCAGATGAGTGGTTCCTCCTCCACAGTGGGGGAGGTAGAGAAGGACGCTTCCTCTAAATCAGTGGTCTCAAACTTGCGGCCCGCGGGGTGATATTTTGTGGCCCCCTACTTGACATTAAAGTTTAATGTTAGTGCGGCCCGTCGTTGCGTGTGCCGCGTTAAAAAAAAAAAAAAAAAAAAAAATTTATCCCTTATGGGCTACCATAGATTGTCTCGTGACAGCTTACGGTGAGTTTGTTGTCAATAGTTGTCATAGACAGCCGCGAAGTACAAAGATACTGCGCCTGGAAAAAAATTAGCGCGTCGCTTCAATTATGAGCGCGCTTGCCCACGCGCCTACATTTGAAATAACGAACTTGAGCGCGCAAAATATGTGAGCGCGATATGTGACCAGGACCCTTGGCGAGCTACCACCAATCAGGCCACGAGCTACTGGTAATATCCCTAGGCATTTGAGACTGGCTTCCAGTTTGGCAGACCCATCGCTGATGTCGGTTTGAGCAGCTGGCATCTCTGTGGTCCCAACATCGTCTCAGAGTCGCACTTCCTTGCACTCCGTTACAGCCAGATGGCCAATCTGTGTGTCTGGGCAACGTACTTTTCTTTAGTTTCTCTCCAGGCGGCAAGCACCTGATCTAGTTTTGCCCGTGGTGGCGACTGTTCATGAACTCCCTGTTTGCCCTGACATGACCACGGACGTAGTCTGTGAACTTCCTGTCCACCCAAATACGACCACGGAGGTTGCCCATGGACTTCCTGCCTGTCTCCTTTATGACCATGGAGGTTGCCCTCGAATTCCCTGCCTGTTTTGTCTCTGCCAGAGAGGCCGTTCTAAGTTCCAGAGTCTCTGCTGCAAGAGGGTGCTATTAAAGACTTTGCTTGCCTTGCCACAGACATCACTCCTGAATTTCCTGCTTGCCCTGTTATAGCAATGTAGGCTAAACTGAACTCTCTGCCTGTTTTGACATGGCCTCCAGAGGCTAACCCTAACCTCTCTGGGCTCTTTGTTCCAGTTCTGATTGATCTGCTCTATTGGTTTTCAGCCTGCCAGCTCCGCCTGCTCTGTTGTCTTCTTCTCCGCCGTGAGGATCTCGAGTCCCATCTGCACTGCTATGGTTGTCTTCTGCTCTGCCGTGGGGATCTTCAGTCCCATCTGGTCTGCCCTGGTGGTCTTCTGCTTTGATGTGGGGATCTTCAGTCCCGTCTGCTCTGCTATGGTGGTCTTTTGCTCCACCGTGAGAATCTTCAGTCCCGTCTGCACTGCTGTAGTGGTGTTCTGCTCTACCGTGGGGATCTTCAGTCTTGTCTGCACGGCTGTGGTGGTCTTTTGCTCCACCGTGAGAATCTTCAGTCCCGTCTGCACTGCTGTAGTGGTGTTCAGCTCTACCGTGGGGATCTTCAGTCTTGTCTGCACGGCTGTGGTGGTCTTTTGCTCTACCGTGAGAATCTTCAGTCTTGTCTGCACTGCTGTAGTGGTGTTCTGCTCTACCGTGGGGATCTTCAGTCCCATCTGCTCCACTGTGGGGATCTTCAGACTCGTCTGCTCTGCTGTCTTGAGGGTGCGTGGCACTACTTCCCATCCAACCCAGAATTTGAGAAGTTTCCTCAGGTTGCTGGGTGATGCTAAGACAAAAAAGAGAAAAAAAATAAGTTATTGTTTAATGTTCACATATAACAGAAAAAATCTTTAAGTAGTACCATCTAGTAATACAAAAATATTACCATGTTCAACAAAGGTTCTCAAAAGACCTGTAACGAGAGTAAGTTTCTCAGGCTGTATGTCGTCAGCATCACCGACGTCGCTGTCTTCTGTATGCTGGATGCGGGCCACTGGATGGCTGGCAGGATCATCTGTAATCCCCCCAAAAAAGGGGCTCGAGCCCCTGCCCTTTTTCAAAATTAATCAAAAGTGCCCTTCTCAAACAAATATCAATGATAATATTGTGGTAAATAAAACAAAATGCATTTGATTATAATTAACATGACAATTTTTACAAGACCAAAGTACCCTAAATTCACATTTATTTTTACGTTTCTGTCAGTCGGAGGTGTCGTTGCCATAACGCGTTGCTGTGGGTTGCGTCACTTGCGTGTGACTGTCTTGCTTCGGACTTGACTCACTGAAGAGGTGTCTCCGTTTTCGAGGGTCGAAAACTCTGTAGACGGCGCGAACGTTATGTGTTTTAAAATGAAAATGCACTGGTGTACACATATAACGTAGGTATTCCACAGTCTGCTCGGGAACCGATGCTCTCCATCCAAATATGGTTCTTTCAGTGAGTAACGTTAGGCCTATAGGCTATGGCTCGACCGCAATTTTTCTTTAACCTTTTTTTTTTTTTCAATATTTTTTTTTTTTTCAATTAAAAATCAACATATCACATATTTTAAAATATTACATAATTCATTGAAGCCGGTTTGTCATGTATAATACACCGACCAATCGTCATCTGGCACAACAAGTTCAAATTTCATTGGACAATGTGAAGTCGAGCGGTAATTTTCAGGTCATTCATAAATCGTTTGAAAATTACATGGACAGACGAATTTACATTTATGAAGCGATCTGAATCTGCGTTGTTGAATCAATGGATGTTAATTGACTACAAAGCACTGTCAAAACCAGCACCAAAAGTAGCATTAATGGTAAGAAATACTAGTAGCCTATTCAAGTCACTTGTATTTTGTCTATGTAAATTGATACAACATTTATTATGCAGTAAACATAATTATGCTAGCATAGATAATTATGCAGCAATAGTATAATAGTAGCCTACAGTACTACTGGTCAAATATTTGCACACTTCTATTTTAACCCTCTGGGGTCCAAGGTGTTTTTGGGGTCCTTGAGATGTTTTGACATACTCTGACATTTGTGCTTTTTTCAGTTGCTTATAAACATATTACTGGCAAAGGTGTAATTACACTCTATTTAGCACAAACAGGGCTACCATAATATGTTATCAACATGTATGTACATGTTTGTAATTTTGAGAGAATATTGTTTATGCGTGGTTATTGAAAAAACTAAAACTTAAAGTTTCTGAAATAAGGCCACAAAACACATACTAAATATGTGTCCACAAGACTTTTGACTAATGGATGTTGTCGCCTAGAGTTTTTTCTTTAAAATGATCTGAAAATCATCCTGCCTTATCATTCACATAAAACAATAGATTGGTTTAAATTTAAAAATGACACTTTTTGTTTGGAAAGACAATATGCGTAGGGCCTGCTGTGATTCATACCTGAGAAGACAATGGGCCCGCATAATGAGCACATAATGGGGCTGCATACTAATGACCCTTTCATTCAGGTGTGTCACTGAGCCACAAGAATGCAATGGCAATATATATATATTAGGGGTGGAACGGTACATGTATTCGTATCGAACCGAAACGGTACGGGCGTCACGGTTCGGTGCACGAATTTACACGGAGACTACACGGTATAAAAATAAATAAAACTCGCGTGCAAATTAATTAATGTAATGCGGAACTACCGTTAGATACGCGGGTTCTTTAGGGACACATAATCTGTACCATCGGCTTAGCTCTGAACGCGCGTTCACTTCAAACGTTCGCTTTATACGCGCGTCCTATTCGCTTTGGACTAGCGTCGAACTAGACGCGAATTTGACGCTCTATTCGTGTTTGGTGTGACCGCATAATGAAGGCTGCGATGTCAAGATTGCAATGCTGGACTGTGTCTGTGTGTGTGTGTGTGTGTGTGTGTGTGTGTGAGACAGAGAGAGAGAAAGATAGAGAGAGAGAGGCGCGCGACCGAACAGTGGAATCATAAAAAAAAAACATACTCCGTAATTTTGTTCATACAGATCATTAAACCTGCAAAGTGTTTACTTATATTTGTGTACACTCGCAATAAAACACAACATTGTGCACACTGTAAACTCTTGTCAAACTGTAACCTACAACTGTCACTCAACCAAAATCACACACACACACACACACACACACTGTTTTAAAAGAAAAACATATTTATCCGACTCCATTTCAAAACAGTCTGTGGGTCCCATCTTTTGGACATTCGTCATATTGCATTGGTTTCCATTTCTTGTCCTCGGAGCGCTAATCTTACACATTCTACATTGATTAAAAAAGAAAATCGAATGTGTTTTTAATGGTAGTATTATTTTAACAGAAATCAATTATTTATAATTCAGATGAGAATAATGTTACATTGTTAATTAATAATGTTAATTAAAATTAAGGAAAAAAAATATATTGATCTGAAATATAGCAAATGAATTTTAAATTAATTCAGGTACAATTACCAAACATATCGCAAGGTCTTTTTGTCTTTTCATTAATTTAATTAATAAACTAATTATATAAAACTATTGTCAGTGCACTACAAATAAACTGGTTCTATGCCTTTATATAATAAAACTTATTTAAAAAATACAATGCCTTCAGCATTTTTGTTTTGCTTTTCCCTCCATTGTACCGAAATCGTACCGAACCGTGATGTCTGAACCGAGGTATGAACCGAACCGTGACTTCTGTGTACCGTTCCACCCCTAATATATATATATATAGGCCTATATAATAAAAAATTGGTTCACAGTTCCAATTACTTATTTATTTTTCAAATTGTGCTTGCAAATTGTATAATATCAAATGTAAAAATTTCTAGTAATTGTGCAGTTAATTATCATACTGTTTTTACAGAAAGATTGGGAATGTATCCCAAATGTGTCACTAATAAAACACAATACAAATAATTTAAAGAGGAGGCTTATATTGAGCTTCTAAGATTTACCTAAGATTTATTTATATGTAGCCTACATATATTTTTGCTATTTTAATAAAAAGGTTACAATTACAACAACAATTAAAATTAACTATATTTCAAATGTAATCTTTCTTTGTATATATTAAAGTATACATTTTATCATACATATTTCACAGTTGCGGATTAATTAGTTTGAATATAGCCTACAATCGAACAAACACTATAATAACAACATCTTAGCAAACAAGCTTATTTGATGTGGCAGTATTTTACAATAAAAACGACATCTTGTCTTTCATATGTAACATATCGTTTTTATGATTAGGACATATAAATGTTAATTTGCAGTTTAATACGTTGCTTATACAAAAATATTTTATTTCAACATATTTCAGTCGATTTTTACTCATCTCAGTATTGGAATACAGTTAGGTAAAAGCTGTTCATTCATTCACACACAAAAATGCGATTCATATTCAAACAGTCTTTTTGTTTACAGACACTATTTCATATCGCGATTAGAACAAAGCACTTGAAAATAAAGAATGTACCTATTCCTCAGCTGGATCCGTTGCTCCTCCAAATGAAACTACCTGTAGGCTACTTCTGAGGTAATTTTTTCCAGGATTATAATTAAGATATTATTAAGAAAAAAACACTTTAGTTAATTGAAATAAAAATTAAAACTAATAAAATAATAACTCTGGCTGTTAGGGAGAATTAAACATTTGTAAGACCATTGGTGACCTGTAACTTCAGATTAAGACAAGTGAACTCATTTTATATGTAGCTTAGGATAGCAGGTAGCCTATTTATTTATAAGTTTCTATTATTTCATTCACATTTTAGTTTTGTAACATATTATTTATAGCTCTTCTTGCTATGTGGAAGCTCAACCAGCAGAGGTCACTCTACCCCCTTCTGTGCACCGACTCTTTCTGTGGGACAACAGGCAACAACGGTTTGACCTTTTGACTTGTGTTTATATCAAAGAGAAGGCAAGCACTGCTACCAACAGAAGCTA